AATCCATCATTAAGCTTCCTGTATGGGTTGCGTTGCGTCTACCAGCCTCCGCTTTGTGGTGCTTGCGCTGTTCGGCTCTAATTTGGTAGAAGGTTTTCCGCTGCGAGTATATCAAGTGGTAGAGCAGTGCAAGCTTAAGAGAACCTAACAGGCAAAGGTTCTCAGCTGCCGAAACGATCCTCAACGTCTCCAGCTGTTTAGTTCCAAGCTCGGAGATCGTGACGACCTGATCTTTTCCGTTCAAGCGTAGACCGAGTGAGTCTTGAACCACAGAATCTTCACATACAGTGTCGTTTCCAAAGCCGGATCGGACTCTCGAGCAGAGACCGCGCAAGCTGCGAGGGTGGCAGTTGCAAAACTTGTCCATCGCATGACCCGGCCTGCCATTGACGTGGAATCGCTTGATTCTGCTGTCCCGTCAAGCAGCAGCCGAATCTGCGGGAGGTGGAACCGCATGCAATGGCAGTGGTCGTTTCAAAAATATTTGCGATTCAGCTGGCTCTGTTCTCTGCATCCTCCGCTCGTGTCGGTGATCCTCGGTGTTGGGAAGGATTCGAGGATGATCGAAGAAGGGTTTGTTGTTCGGATGCCATGGCATTTTTGCAGCTGAACTGCGGGAAGCAACCATTCGGTTTTGAGAGGTGCTGTTTCGACGTGGGGAACTCAGGCGCGTCTTGTACTCGCAGCCAGTCCCAGTTCGGTGAGGAACTTTCAGTCATTCAGCTTCTCGGATGGCAGATGAAGAGAGATGGGATTTACTTGGAGATGGGCGCGCTGGACGGCGTCACCTACTCAAACACGCTCGCGTTGCGGACTTGCTTGGGGTGGACCGGGATGTTGATAGAAGGCAGTCCGCGCCATTTTCAAAGGTTGCATCAGAACTATAAGGATGTCGAGAGTGTGATTATCAAGTACGGGGCCGTGTGCGCACCTCCCCTGACGAACGCGACGTTCAGCCAAGGCATGAGCATAGGTTCTATCGATGGAGATGTGACATATCTGCCCACAGGGCTTCGTAAACGATTTTCCTACCGCCGCCAGCGAGTTGTTGTACCTTGCCGCCCCATGGAGTGGTATCTTCAGCAACTCCCGAAAAAGCATGTGGACTTCGTGTCCTTGGATGTTGAAGGTGCCGAGCTGGAAGTTCTCCTCACCATGGATTTCACCGAAGTATTGGTGGAAGTGTTCTTGATCGAGTTACATGACTGGGGCAGATCCGAGCAAACACAAAGCTGGAAGATTCGGAAGCTGATGCGTAACCTTGGCTACAAGGAATGCACGAACGTCCATGTTTGGCCGAACGGACTGTTCGTCCTTCAAGAAGGACCATACTCAAGCAGATGCTCGTAAGAATGATCAGGTTTCCAGTCCAGCCCATGTCACAGTGCGGACGCGACACGCAGTGATACACGAGATTTGGCACGCCGAGCACGAGCACCGTGCCTGAGAACGTGTCGCAGTCGCTGCTAAGACCGACCCGAGCTGGTGATGAATCACGGGCAGCTCTGGGCGTTAATCAGGCGGCGGAGATGTGTTGCAAATCCAGCCATGTGACAAGAGTGGTGCTACTCACAGGTCTGCAGTTTCTCCGGAAGCAGGATCACAAGCTTGGCCGTGAGCGTGTTTGGAGCAGTTGCTGTCGCGCGAAAATTGGACTGCTCAACAAGCTACATGTCTGTCGCTGTCACTCTTTGTGAGCACAAGTTATGAGCGATCACAACAGGATCGAAGCCAAGCCAGACGTCATGATCCTCTGCCCTTGCCATTTGTGGCTGGAGCTGCGGCGACCTACCCATTCGATACCGAACCAGCATGCTGTTGTTCGTTGGGCGCTGAGATATAGACATGCTGCACCGCACATCGGGAGTATAAGGAGTATAGGGAGCCAACGGCCCAAAACCCCAAAGCCCATGGCCTCAGCCCTCCGCGAGGTCACTGCGAAATGAAATCGATGGTGGCCCCAGCCTCGGAGAGCATTCTGCCGAAGTTGAGAAAAAGCCGAAGTTGGGGAGCTTAAAACATGAGGGTCATCGTCTTTTTAGCCCCAGCCAGGCCGCCTCGGCTCGGGCCCTTTTGGGAATAGTATGTTTCATTTTCAGGCTTCCATAGTACTGCAATGCGAGCTTTGGTTTTGGGCGTGTTGTGCATTTCGTTTCTACGGCCTCCGAGGTTGCACTTCCGCATTCAATCCTCCTCTGCTTCGCTATCACCGTTTGTGCCACGGAGCACTGTGAAGAGGACCAACCGAGTTTTGCGTGGCGGCGCGCATTCCACGAGCCCCAAGTCCACTTGAGCCGTACGCCTGGAGCCTGAATCCGCTTCAAGCGAACCGCCCTGCAGTACCTTGAGCTTTCCGGGATACTGGTGAGAGTTTCGGGGAACGGAGTTGAAACATCGGGGCGTCAGGTGTCAAGCCTTGCCAGATCTCCTTGAAAACGCCGGCGAGCTTTGCCACTCTCAGCCTTCAGCTCCCGAACCAGCAACGCCATGCCACTCACGACCCAGCAGCGCCACAACAGAGGCACGAGACGAGGGAGCCTTGAACCCTGCGCCGGAGAGGAGAGAGAGAGAGGGAGAGAGCCAAAGCAAGGAGCACAGCACATTTCAGCTGCTGCAAGTGAGCCAGGCTGTCGCGGGGGTTTGAGCTCGGAAGCTTCGCATTTTTGTTGTGTTTCCTTGGTTTCGAGACCTCAGATCCTCATTGCGCGCTTGGGGATTTTGGGGTTTGGGAGTCTATGGGTGCGGCTGTCCTGCCTTGGTTTAAGGTTTTGTGTGTGCATGCTCTCTTCATCACATCCTAGACACAAGAAGCTGAACCTTAATCTGCACAAATCGTAACATAAGCCTCTTAGTTCAGCTCCGGAAATAGATCTCAAACCGCAAGCCTCCCAGCTCTTACGAACCCTGCGCGGAGGCTGGCCCGGGCCCTTGAAGCCAACATGCAAGCAATTGGAACTCCCGCGAAGGGTTTAGGGCCCAGGGTGAGTTTTTTGCGGAATTGGCCCCGCGGTGAAAAGCTTCTTCCTCGGCCAAAAATCCAGGCTCTCGACGTCCCCGCAGGGCATGTAGAAGCTCAGCGGGAAGATGACTGGCGCTCAGAAATCGTTGTAACAATGGGCCTCCATTTGCTGGAAATGGCTTCTTGCCAGTACCGCTGTCGTCTGCAAAGGCTTATTCCAAGTTGGCCGGGTTTAGTGGATTGATGCTTTGTCGTGTCACCCGAAGGTTTGGAGAGTGCGAAAGATCCGACAGCAAGGTCGCACAGGGCTTCTTCCATGCCGTCGGCTCGGCTGAAGCAGCAGCCGTCCTGCCGCTGGGCTCGACATTTCAATTTCCATAATGTCCAGTATGGTATGGATATGCTAATGGAGAGCTCGGAATACAAAATACTAAGATCCTTAACAGAACAAGACCCCAAATAAGGCACCCCGATTCGAAACTCCAACATTGTAAGTTGCAGGCTCCTGCGAACACCGACTCCGATTAAACACATTGTCGAAAGACTTGCGCAAGAAATTAACCGTTTGCGGTCATGGAGCTGTCGGGAATCTTCCACTCCTTGTGTCGAATGCATGATGGGTCAGTCTGAGGTGGCTGGGGTTCTGCTTTGGATACACTTTTCTGGCAAGCGAATCGTGGCGTTGAGAACCTTCCGCGCCATGTTTGTCCTCCCTGCAAGCGGAGGAGCGTAAGAGAGCTAGATTCTCCTGGCCCATATGGTCTTTCGTCGACGGCTGGTGACCTTAGGCGGAAACAAAACCACGGGGTTCTAGGGTAAGGGCCGGTAAGGGTTTAGGGTTGCAGCTCCCAGGCAGCCGGGGCTTATCGCCGAGCGCACCTTCGAGGCACCCCCTTAGACGGGAGTTCCCCTTCTTCGTAACGAAGTGGTTAAATTAGGGGTTTAGGGCTCAGGGTGTAGGGTTTAGGGCCAAAGCCAAAAATGATACAAATAGAAACAAACCGGCTTCTATAAGTCTATACCTGTGTATCTAAATGCAGAGGCTGTGACTGTTGGCTTTGCGATGCTTCGCTGGTCTTCTGGACGTTGTATTTCAGGGCTTTCTACGATTCTAGGACATTCCAGGACTCTGGAGCGGATGTTTCGCCCTCTCCATGTCTTGATCGCGAGGACATTTCATCGAAAACCTTGAGTCCGAAACCGTGAACCCTCAAGTCTACCTTAACCTACCCAAGCCGACGGTCCCTAACAGTTCAATATTAAGGTTAAAAACGCACTTACAAAAAGTCGGTAATGTAAGTCTTCGGGTATTTTTTGGTAAGGGCGCATGAAACGCCAAAGAGCACGAGAAACGGCGGGCCTTTCGGGTTTATGTAGTCCCGTGGACTGACCCGCTGGCACGCAAGCTTTGGAATCGCCACAGACAAGAAGATATCCCTGTTTAATATACAATTCCAAAGGCTTAAGCGAAGAGTACTAAGACTCCGATTGGCAGTAGACCTACATGCAAAAACGACTGATGCTTCGTCTGGACGACAGGAGGTCTTCGTTACAGCTTCCTCGAGGCAGCAGCAGCCGGTGGCACTGACCCAGAAGAGCGCCCGGCCACCCGAGAAAGGGCCAACGCTTCAGGGGTTTATACTCTAATATACGACAAAAACTGGTGATTAGATGTTATATAACAAGAAGGTAACAGTACTACAAAGTATGATACCGCCATAACAAATATCATGCAATACAATGAATCCAATGTACTCGGATCTTTCGCGGTTGGGTGCTTGAGCTCTGTGAAATCCCTTTCGAAATTGCCTCGATCCGTCCGACACAACGAATTGGGGCTGCAGGGTTTCGTCGCAGGGGTTTGGGTTTTCACTGTAAGGTTTATTGTTTGGGGAGTTCCGCTGCTGCTAGCCCTCGCAAGTTTGGTACCCCGACATTTGGCGCAGATCCCGTCCTGGAGGCGAAGGCTCAAGCATTTTTATTGTCAATCTTCGCTTTATCAACATCCGTCGTCGAATTCTTGGGGTAACGCCCTTCATTTATAGGGTTTTTGGTTTTTTACACTGTGAAACTAGAAAGCCCTGTAAACCTCTAGTATAGAAGCCCCCGCGCCGAAGCCTCTTGAAAACCTCTGAGGCCGAAGCTGCCGTGGGAACGGAGACCATCTGCATCATCGTGTTTCGGGCTCGGCTCGGATCTCCTGGAGGTTTAGGGTTTGGAGGTATGCTTTGGGGTTTATATTTTAGATGAGGTTTCGGGATTTAGCGGTTGCGGCTTGGAGCATAGGTTTAGGGTTACTGCTTTTCGATGGGTGCATGGTAGTGAGGCGCAAGTGCTTGTTGCAGGCTTCACACCCAAGTAGCATCTGTCTCTTTGCACCCCTAAACCCTCAACCTTGAACCCCGAAGCCTAAACCCTAAACCCTGTTCTCATGTTTTGTTTGTTGCTTGTGCCCTCTTGCAGCACATAAGTTGCAGCGTAAGCCTTCGGTGTGCACGGAGGTCGGAAACCCGAGTTTTGGGGTTTTGGGGTTTCCGTGCGTCAAGGGTTCCAGGAGACAGGCCGAAGGTGCCATCCTCGTTTTGAGCGGGCCTGTAGAGTCTGAGACTCGCTTTCGAACGTCAGTGGTGCCCAGGAGTAGCTCAGTGCAAGATAATCCCCGAGTCTCAAGGGGCGCCGTCCTCCTGGCGGTTCTGGTTTGCCTGATCTTCTGCTGCTTTCGCCCCTCTGTGTCCTACGAAGAGGCGGGGTCCCGAGCTTGAAAGCCGCGCCGCTCCAATCACGTTCATGTCAGCAGAGCCCTGAAATTTGGAGGCGCTTGGCCTTCACCTCCCAAGCCACGGCAGCCCCAGGAACACTCCACAAAAAAATCTTCAACTCCCGGAACCATCTCGTCAGTGCTTTACAGGGCCCCCAACAAATAGCAAAGTAGAGGATGGAGGATCCCAAACCGTAAACCCTAAATCCTGAACCCCAAACCCCAAAAGGCGAGCAAGGAGGGCCAGGGCCCCTTCATCCCCGCGGGCGCCGCGACGCTCCAGCGGCCCAGACACTCAGAGCTTTGGGGATGGATGGATCGGAAGGGATCGTCTAGTATCATGACTTACAGTATAGTATATGGTCTTCTATCATGTTCTAGTATATTATCATATCTTTATGGTATGTTCATTTTGTTATAGTAAAGTATATCATCTTGCATTAGCATCCTAAGCCTTACACCCAAAACCCTAGATTCTAAAGGGGTGACTGTTGCTGGCTTCGTCCTTTGGTGACGCTGCTCTCGGATAGGGGGTTCGGACTTGAGGGGCTGCATGTTGGGTTTGAGGGCTTGATTGCCACAGAGTTTCTTCTTTGATTCTGACGACTAATCATGGCAGCAGTTGTCACTCCTGAATGCACCCAGAACCCGAACCTCTATGTACATAGTATAAGTATATATATATATATGTACATGTATACGTAATATATATATATATAGATTACATATATACATACATAAATACATATGCTTATAGGTATATATATGTGTATATATATATGTGTATATATGATACATGATATATATATATATATATTTGTATATATACATATGCGTATATGTATATATGTGTATGTATGTATATATGTGTACATGTGTATATGTGTTTGTGTATGTGCACATGTATATATGTGTATGTGTGTATATATGTACATATGTGTACATGTATATATGTATACTGTGTATATTTATATATCTTTATATGTTCATACTGTAGAGATATATATATGTATATGTATATATGTGTATATATGTGTATATGTGTATATATGTATCTATGTGTATATATGTATTTATGTGTATATGTGTATGTATGTGTATATATGTATATATGTGTATATATGTATGTATGTGTATATATGTATATGTGTGTATATACGTGTGTGTATATATGTATATGTTTACATGTTTATATGTTTATATGTTTATATGTTTATATGGGCATATGTATGACGTATATATGTAATATGTATATCTGTATATCATATATTGTATATATATATATATGTATGTATGTATGTATGTATGTATGTATGTATGTATGAGGGCTCAAATCGCCGGAAAAGCCCGGAAAATTGCAGCCCCAGAACCCACAACGGGTTCGCTTAGCTTTGCCGAAATCGGCAAACGGTCCCCCGCGTGGCACAGGCGGAAGCGGACTCTACGAGCGCGTGGTCGCTCGCGACTCCGAAAGGGAGTTCCTCCAACACGGCTGCAAGCACAACTGCTCGTGGAGCACCACTCGGCGAACGCCTCGTTGCAGTCACGGCTTTTCAGCATGGGACGTGGTGGAAAGAATCAAGCCCAGCCATGGGTTGGAGGTGGTGGCTACCGTGTCTGGCCGGGTGCCTTCTCGCCTCAAGGCCAGAAGGAATCGAAGTGGCCACCTTGGAGGCCGGAAGCGCCACGGGGACATGTCCCGGAGTTCCCCTCGTATGCTTCGATCCGGCTTAC